AGATTTAAACTTTGAAAGTTTGTCTCCAATGTGCTAGTTTATTTAAAAAATTAACATTTAAATATCACATTTAAATATCATAAATTTAAATTAATTTTATATAAATGAATATATATAGATAAATAAAATATAGATAAATAATTAGTTAAATGTAGATTAATTGTACTTCCCGCTAAAGGATCTCGGGATTCAATATGGCGATTGGTTTCTGATTCGAGTAGAAACACGGCGTTGAAAGGATAATATTACTGAAGGAAGTTTTTTCATACTTTTATGCAATACTTAAATAATTTATCAAAGGACCTTAAAAAATTAAGTATGAAATAACGTGTATCTTATAATAATATAGAATTATTATGTATATCATAAAATTTTAATTTTTGCATGTTAATAGTAATGTATTTAAAGAAGTTATTAAGTTTTATACTATTAAAGTGAAGAAAACTTGTGCCAAGAATGTCTCAGGATGATGATGTAGGATTTTTATATAAAACGATGAGTAAGTTAAGAGAATTATCTGTTAAAATATATTTGATATATTTAACTGTAGGTTACAATGATTAATATAATAAACAAAGACAAATATTTTTTCACAATATATTATTGAAATTAAATGTATCACTTTCCTTTAAAAATTGTAAATCATTTTAATTGTAATTGTTTCCATAATATGATTTTACAGTATAAGAAAATCAATTAAAAATACAATACTGTATTAAACATGTTTACATTTTAATTTTATATATGTATATATTTTTAAATATATATATACAATTTAAATACATATACAATTTACATTTAATTAATGTGTACATTTAACGTAATAAATTTAGTAATTTTATTAAATTTATATTATAAATATATTATGTATTTACTCAAAACAATCTTTTTTTTTTTTAAATTTTAACATGAATATTTAAAAAAGATTTTTATTTTGAAAAGTAAGTAGTCTTTTGGTAATAATTTATTTAAAATACAATAAACAAAAATAAAAAACTATATATAAAAAACTAATTCAATGCTCAAAACCGGCGTCGTATATTACGCATACGTCAGTATTTTACAGTGACGACTTGATGAGTTCGATGCATAGTGGGAGATATTTAAAAACTGTATAGCGGTATATGGATGTGTCAGAACCTTTAAAAGAAAAAATAAGTTTCTGTGGAAAAAAGTATGAAATATTACCATTGAAATTAAGCAAAAATATTGCTTTGAAAGTAATATGACTAGCATTTGTACGTATTTATCGTGAATTAACTACATACATAACCTAAAATTAATTTTTTTGTACCTTTTTGGGAGTGCATATCCCTTGGATTAAGTATGTTGTTAATAGAACAGTTTTTATTATCATACTTATTCTTTTTGATGAAATATTTAATACATAAGTAATAGGAAATTATATAAAATTATCCTTTTTAGTTGAAAGGGATCCAAAAAAAAGGAGGGTTAAGCCTGTAGGATCAGCACAATCTTTGCTTGATTTTGATTTAGAAAATGAAAGTTCTGATGACAGTGATTTTAGAATTGAAGATCATTGTGAAGAATCTGATGACGATTCAGTGGATTCTAATGATATTGAGAAAGGTAAGATACATTATATGACTATTAAACATAATATTATTAACATATGTTTTAAAGAAGACTTACATAAATTTGCTTATATTTATAAAAGAGGAAGATGTATCAGAGCAATCAGATGATTCTTTAGAAGACCCATTATTGAATAAGAAAGAAAATCCTAATTTAACTGTAGGAGATGTAATTGAACAAGCTAGACAACAAGCATTAAAAGGTGGTTCACTTGAAGATAAACTAAATAAAATGTTAATTTGTTGTGGTTGCTTAGGAGATAGAAGCGATGATATTAATGAAATTGTTGAATGTGATGGATGTGGTGTTAGTGTGCATGAAGGTAAATCATTTTTACTTGTATTAAATTTATAATTCAGAATTTCTTTAGTCACAAATATATAGTGGTAAGTGACAAATATAAATAACTTTTAATTTAATCTTATTTAAGGATGTTATGGTGTATCTGATGTAGAAAGCTTCTCAAGTACCGATTCCTTATGTCAATCAGCACCGTGGTTTTGTGAAGCTTGCAGTGCAGGTATTGAGGATCCCTCTTGTGAACTTTGTCCTAATAAAGGTGGAATTTTTAAAGAGACTGATGTGGGAAAATGGGTACATTTAGTATGTGCACTTTATGTACCTGGTGTTGCTTTTGGAGAAGTATGTAGAGTTTCTCTTTAGATATGTGATAAGAATATTTTTAATCATATAAGTTTACTTTAGGTTGATCGTTTATCCAGTGTAACACTTTTTGAAATGGCATACAGCAAATGGGGAGCAAAACAGTGTTCTTTATGTGAAGATGCACGCTTTGCTCGTACCGGTGTATGCATAGAATGTGATGCAGGAATGTGTCATACATATTTTCATGTCACTTGGTGAGAATAACATGCAAACATGACTAAATTATTTAATACAAATATAAACAAAACGCAATTTAAAACAATCTAAAAAAATATATTGCTATGTTTTCTTAGTGCACAAAGGGAAGGTCTATTATCCGAAGCTCATAGTGAAGAAGTTGATCAAGCTGATCCATTCTATGCACACTGTAAACTTCATTCCGATAAAACACTTGTTCGTAGACGTAGACGCAATTGGTTAGCTTTACAATTACGAGCTCAGTACCGACAGCAATTATTAAAACAACCTAATCATTTAGATACTGAAGAACAGCGTAGAATACAAAGAAAATTAGCAAAACATAGGCATAAATATTTAGCTCATAAGGCAGCTAGACCACCACCATGGGGTATGTTATTTGACTACATACGTTAATTAAATTTAAAATATCATATAAAATATTTGTTATTTATAGTACCAACACAGAAAATGCCTCGGTTATTAACTACCTCAGCTTCGGCTTGCCGACAGTTAGCAAGGAAAGCTGAACTCATGGGTGTTGATACTGCTGCATTAGAAGCTCAAGAAGCACAACTTGTAGCTTTAGTTGATGTTAGGAAAAAATGGCATATTCCACCTGCTTTTAGTGTAGAATTTATTGGTTATTATTTGGATCGCAATTTGCGAGTTACATCTATGAAAAGACGATTGCAGGAACTTCTTGATATTAATTCTCAATTACTCAATGAGCAACAAAGATTAGATAGAAGATATGATGAAGTAATGAAAGATAATGAAGAACAGATTCGAGTAAATGTAACATTAAAAGAAAAAATAGAAATGTATCACCAAGTGCTTCAGAGTAGTGGTTACATGAAACCTCTACCACAAATAACTGATCTGGCAAAACCAAGAATAACACCAACTTTAGGTAAGTTAAATTTTAACTGCACAAAAAAGGATATATGTATCATGCTTTTTAAATAGGTACAGGTTTAGGTGTACCTACTGCAGCAGCTTTGAAAATGGGTGTTGGTTTCCCATTGCCAGTTGGTAAAGGAACAGAAGGAATACGTGAAGGTAGAGTGTTAAGTAGTCAAGCACAAGACCAAAACCACAAAAGTGAATTAACATTAAGGCATCAATGTGGAATATGTAGAAGATCTACAAATCAACATTTACTTGCAAAATGTGACACATGCCACCTTCATTACCATTTATCTTGTCTTAGTCCACCTCTATCACGTATGCCAAAAAAAACAAAACTTATGGGATGGTATGTATAATATATTATGCTACCATAAATAATAATGTAGTTCATTTATTAATTACCTTTTTAGCAAATTTAAAATTTAATATATAAAATATTTTCCAATATAGGCAATGTTCTGAATGTGACAAAGAATCTTCTGGGTCTGAAGTTGAACGTGTTGATACTTCGGCTCCACGTAAATTAAGGCACTGTAAAGACGACTCGAACTTAACATCAACACCAACACCACCACAAGAAATACAAGTACCTACAATACCAACAACACCTAGTACATCAAAAAATTCTTCCGCTAATCTTAATAGTATAACGAATACTACCACACCGGATACACCTACAACACCAAAAGTAAATATAATTTAGAAACAATTATTTGTACTCTTGATTTTATATTCTCATTTTTTCAATTTTCTAAACATTTTGTGTGTAGGTGACAATAAAACCAGTTGGACCACAACCTCCATCTTCAACTCCCATTCAATCAAGTGAATCAATATATAATCAGCAATCTATTAATAATATGACAATAACGAGGGAAGGCTCACCTGAATATATGGTAGCTTCGGCAGATGGTACGGAATCTGTTTCACAAAGAAGCGCTAAAAAAAGAAGAAGGTGTGTAAAATATATTTTCATGTAAATATAAACTATACATTTTTTTAAATTCCATCAGAGAGAAACACAAAAGATATACCCCTGATCCAATTACGGGCATAAAACAAAGAAAACGCAAACATAAAAGAAAAAGTCTAGATGTGGAGAATCCTGAAGGGCAAAGTCAACCAGAAATTCATAGAAGAATCACAATAAAAGTATGTAATTATTTATGAGTAAAATTTAACATTGCAATGTACTTATGTGTTTAGGTAAATACTTCATAATTATTTTATTGGTTAGATAAAACCAATTCCAAGACCAGAGGGGGATGCAGCATCAGAATCAAGTCCACAAATGTTTGTTGCCACATCTACTAGTACTGAAATTACATCACCACCACCACTACCTAAACTACCACTACCACCTGTTCCATCTTTAGCTTCAAATACTACACCTGTAACAGCAAATGTATCTTCTAATAATACAAATAGTAGGACATCTACAGGAAATGGAAAAAGGGGAAAAGATACAGACCTTTTGACACATTGCAATGTCTGCGATATGCCTGGTACCAGTCAAAATCTCGTCATGTTAGTTTACACGAATATATTAAGTATTTGTTTCTCACATATAATCTAAATTCATGATTTCGTCATTTTTTATATTGTAGGTGTGATGAATGTAAAAAATGCTATCACTTTACCTGTCTTGATCCACCAGTTAAAAAGTCACCCAAAAGAAGAGGCTATTCGTGGCATTGTGCGGACTGCGATCCTAGTGTAAGTTAATCAATCTTTTTTGTCTGTGATATTAACCAACTATATATTGTTAAGGTACTTTTTATTTAGTCAACAAAGCAAAGAAGCATAAAAAAAGATGTAAAAATTGTTTTATAGGTAACAAATCATAATTTATAAAAACTAAATCACAATGTGATTAATAATATCTAAACAGTATAAATGTGACAAAATATAAAGTACTTTAATGCTATATATATATATATATATATGTATATATGTATGTATGTATTTATGTATGTATGTATGTATGTATGTATGTATATATATATATATATATATATATTTA